GCAGCCCAGCTCCAGGTGGAGCTGTTGTTCAGCATCTTAGCTGCAGAGGGCAGTGTCACTGGCCCTCATATGTGGGATCCGAACTGGGGCCCTCTGCCGTCCCAAGCCAGCTCTTAACCAGGGCACCACTCGGCTGGCCCAGAGCTTGTATTCTTAAGCTAACTCTTAACCAACTGAGCCACTCTGCCGGCCCCCCCAAAATGGTTGATTTAACGAACGTGCACTTGGAATACCAGGAGAGGAGATGGATAGAGGAGTAGAAAAAACATTTGACAAATTAGTAACAAAGCATTTGATGGAGACATAAATTTGCAGATATAAGATGCTCGGGAAGCATCAAACAAAATAAACCCAGAGAAGCCCAGTTTAAAAGCATTACAGTCAAACTGTTAAAAACCAAAGACCACAAATGAATCCTGAAAGCAACAAAAGAAAAATGCATGGGAATAACAGGCAAGGAAATAACAATTCAATTAATAGCTGACTTCTCATTAGAAACCATGGTGACCAGAAGAGAGTAGAACAAACTTTCAAAATGTTAAGAGGAAGAAACAAAACAAGCTATCAACCTAGAAATCTCTGTTAAGAGAAAGCGTCAAGAATGAATTCATTAAATAGTGGGGCTCAGACCAGCTGCCCTGTTCCTTCGTTGAAGCCGTTACTTGCACCTTTCATGGCGCAGAGGCATGAATATTAAAAACGAACCTGTACTCATGTGCACATTCCAAGCTTGTCCTCTATTTTAGTTCCATGCACCTGCTACATAGTACATCTCCCTTTCCTTTCTAATAGCAATACTCATTTTTTACCCCCCCATCAGGAACTTTATTTTTCTAAAGGCGGAAGTGAATTTGAATAACTTAATAACTTAAGGGCGATGCTAAACCTTAATCCCAGAGTCAGATCAGGGACATGGGGGATCTTGTATGGGGTGCTGGCCTCAGGGCACAGGCACTTGAAAGTGTAAACAAGCACTGAAGCCAGTGAACTGACCAGTGCTTCCATTCTGATATTTAGCTGTGATCTTTGAGTTGGAAATTTCTGGCCCTTCATGCATGGGCTCTCTTGTAAGACTGGAATTACTCCAAGTATTTTGGGCTTTAAGAACAAGCCTGTTACAGCCCTATCTTTGTCACACTATTTGTTTATTGTTTCTCTAAGGAAGAAATAGGACTGTTTAGGAGCCCTTGGAAGGGCATTTGTGGTGACTTGTCTTTCTGTGATTTTCTGCCCTTGTGAGTTCAGGTGCCCTTGTGCATCGACTCTTCCAATTTCGCGGTGATTGAAGCCGGGTTAAAGTGCTGCCAGGGGAAGTGCATCGTCAATAGCATCAGCCTGAAGGAGGGAGAGGCCGACTTCTTGGAGAAGGCCAGGAGGGTCCAGAAGTTTGGAGCTGCTGTGGTCGTCATGGCTTTTGACGAAGAGGGACAGGTGAGTGATCTCTCAACCAAACTGTAGGCTAGACAGAGCCGTGGAAGAGAACCGAGTCCCGTACAGCCATCTGTGTGTGTGTGTGTGTCTGTGTGTGTCTGTGTCTGTGTCTGTGTCTGTGTGTCTCCATGCACCATAGTACCATGCTCACACACACATACATATACACATGTACACACACATACTTGTATATATGTATATGTGAAAATTTGATACAAAAATCTTTACATCAATTGAGAAAGGAACTATTCAGTAAATGCTATTGGAACAATTGTCTATGTGTCTTGAAGAAAATAAAGTTAGAGCCCCATTTCCCATCATATACTAAAATAAAGTCTCTATCAGTTAAAGATCTAAATGTAAAAAACAAACTTCTAAAGAATGTTTGGGAAAATATTCATCTGAACTTGGGAAGGCAGAAAGAAAATTGATAGGGCTGCCTACATAGAAATGTAAGACTTTATATGGTGAAAGACATGGTACTATTCGCAACATGAGTAGTAGCATTGGGTTAACGTGTCTAACAAGCAGAGTTTCTATAAATCAGAAAGTAAAATGCCCAATCAACCCAAAAGAAACATAGACAAAGAAAATGAATAAGTAATTTATAGAAGAAATACAAATAGCCAATAAATCTATGAAAAGATACTACATTTCATAATAATTAAAGAAATTTTAAAAATGAAGCAATAAGGAGATACTAGTTTATTTTATCAAATAGAAAAAATAAGTAAAACTGATAAATGGCAACTTTTGTGTCCGCCGTGGAATCAGGGAAGGGCAACAGGAAGCTTCAAGCACAGTGATAGTTCAACTGGGTGATGGGTGTGCAGTGATTATTGTGTTGTTTTATACTTCACGTGACTTTTATAAATATTTTTGTATCTCTTCAATATTTAATTTAACACAACTGAAAATGCCCATGCCTTATATTCAGCCCCACCTGGGAATCTTGTAATAGGCTCAGTATGTAAGGGTATGTGTTCACATTGCTTGTAGCATCATGGTAGCAAGCAGGTGAGACTATTCTAAATGTCCATTAACAGGGCAATGCTTCAGTCTTGCTCCGTGTCACACAGAGTACTGTGAGCAGTTGAAAAGAACGAGGTCATGGAACCACATCTACAATATATTGAAAGTGAAACAAAACAAGTGACATCTCGGTTGTATTTAATAAAAGGAGGATTTATATGGATATACAGAGGGTACCAAAAGAATGTATACACATTTTAAGAAAGGAAAATATTACAATTGTAAAACAATAAATAATGCTAGCATTCATTTGATTAATGCCATCCTTTGAGCAAACCTCATACTACACGTTGCTACCGTAATTCAATTCAATTTTGAAAAGTAATACATAGATAACATCTCTTAAAATGTGTACTCTTTTTGGCACCCCTGGTGTGTGTATCTGTAAGCAGAGAAAAAAATTGGGTAGTTAACTGGAAGGTAGAGATGGTCTCAGATGGGGACAGGTTGACTTATTTTTATAATTGACAAGTCATGGGATTATATGTCCTTTATCTTTTTTTTTCTCTTTTGTATTTTTAAATTGAAAATTTTAAACAAAAATGTTATTCTTTTCGTACAAAAGATATTTCTTTTTTTATTAAAATTAAAAAAAAATTTTGATTACGGTTGACATACAATATTATTAGTTTCAAATGTACAACATAGTGATTAGACATTTATATACCTTACAAAGTGATCATGCCGATAAGTCCAGTACCCTGGCACCATACATAGTTATTAAAGATATAGTTTCATCTTGAGAAAAATTCAAATAATTCAGAAGTGTGCAAAAAGATAATTTTGATAGTGAACATATATCGAACCTTTACTTGTACCAAGCAGGCATACTACACACGTGAAATCGGTTTTTCTTCCTAAAATGTAAATATTGGGTGTGTGTATATATATATATGTATGTGTATCTCTCTCTCTCTCTCTCCCTCTCTCTCTCTCTCTCTCTCTCTCTCTCTCTCTCTCTCTCTATATATATATATATNAGAAACTAGGGAGGAGACTTAACATTTCTATTCTTAATATTTCTATAGGAAAGAAAACTTAAAATTCTTTGTGGGGGGCCTCTCTTGGCTGGAAACAACTGGATAGACTAAGAACCCACTTTTCATGTCCCTGAAGGATATACTTAACACTTCTACCAAATCAGTAGTTCCATTCCTACAGTAGACAAGGGAACTCAGTGAGTTCTTCCTTATCATAGGAAGAAAAGATCTTTGTGGGCTTACTAGCGTAAGACAAAATCATAAAACAAGATTAAATCAAGGTATTGTGTCAGCTTTTACATTTATTCTTTTAAAAATGCCTGTTAACTGTTGTGTCAGTCTTTTAAGAAATTTTAGTTGATTTCTAAACACTTTAAAAGTCTCATTTCTCTACCACTGAATTGGTGATGAGGAGAGATTTTTTAAGTTTTTTTTTTTTTTTTTAAAGGGACTTCCTAGAGCTTTAAGAGAATAGGGCTGTTAGTTTTATGCTTCACAAGCTAGAAGTCTTGTGATAAGGAGTGAATTACATTAACTTATCCTTCATTTATGTCTTAAAACTCCTTATTAAAAAACCTCATGACTCCTCTGGGAAGTAAATATTTTGAGAATTTAAGGGGCTGAGAAGCTAAATGACTTGTTCAAAATTAGAATCAGAAGGGGAGCAGTTGTTTTTCAGCTGAGTAGTGGGAAGAGGGCTGTGTTGGGAATCAGAAGACTCTCTTTATAATCCCAGGCAAGTCAAGTAACTGTTGACCTGTTAACATAAGAACATCCAAACCTGTAGAGAATTTTTATAAGATTTTGAGTCAAAACCGACGAAATGCTGGGAAGCAAGATATCAGATGCTCCAGAGAATGACAAATTTGCCGTTTCTTTTATGCATTTGAAATTAAGGAACATTCCATGAAGGTGGGAGGAAGCAAGGCGGGGACTGGATTCCAAGCTAGTTAATAAGATGATGTGTTCTCTTCAGGGTGGTTATTTCAAAGGTGTGTTAATCTGGGTATATAGAAACAATGGACAGGGTTTGCTTAAGGTGAAGATAAACCTTTTACTAAAGAAGTTTTAGGCCTGGGGCAGGACTGCCCACCATGACCTGCCTGGTTAGGAATTCATGATCAGGTCACCCTGTGAGGTTCCTTTCCATGACTAGCTTCCTTTCTCATCTCAGAAATGGGAATAATCATGCCTGCTTTGTGTGATTTGTGAATTATAAAAATACCTTGTTAGCTGTGAAGGACATGTAATTTAAGATATTATTAGTTGCTTAGTGATCCGATGTCTACAAGAATTTATCTTTCTTGATCTTTCCTGGTTTTGACCTACTACTAAAATTTATTTGCCACCAAATTCTGAATGACTGGGGTAGATCATAAAAGTGTTTGACCAGCACATTTTCACCACTGTTGTTGGGATACCAAAGTGTCAGCAGGCGCTTTAAAATATTGGCCTGGTGTTGTCATTGTGTTTGGCCCTTGTCCTAGCACACCTTTCATTACTGTTGGGTCTTCGGAAAAGTCATGACGTATTTTGTCTATGTTTTTCAAAGGCCATTTATTTATATAAAGAACAAAGATCAATCAGTGATATATTGCTCGTTTTCTTTGATAACCTTTTGCCATCTTTCAGTGAGCTTCATAATTCCTCATTCATAGAAGGACCTGTCTTTATTTGTGAAAAACTGAACAAGATGCTGATTTACAGCCTCATCTGAATTGAACGTTATACCACACAAGGAGTTTTGAAGAGAGTGAAACAAGTGGAAGTTTGACTGCACAAGGTCAGGCTAGTATGGTGGGTGTGGCAACACATCCCATCCAAGCTCCAGTAATTTTTGACGGTAATCAAACTTGTGTGTGGTCTCGCATTGTCGTGATGAAACACGACTCCTTTGCAATTAACAAGCGCTGGATGTTTCTGGATGATGGATTCGTTCAAACTGTCCAATTGCCTACAGTACACATTCGAATTGATTGTTTGGTTCCTTGGCAGGAGCTCGAAAAACGACACCTTTAAAATCCCACCACACTGAGAGCATAACCTTCCTCTGATGAATGTCTGCTTTCAATGTCATTTGAGGTGAATCATCACATCTGGACCAAGACCGTTTGTGCACCACACTGTTGTAAACAATCCACTTCTCATCACCAGTTATCAGTTGCTTCAAAAAATCAGGATCATTTTTCTCATGTTTAATGAGCATATTGCAGATGTTTATACGTGCCGTCTTTGAGTTCATGCGGAACCCAAATATCAAGCTTGCTTACGTATCTCAGCTTCTTCAGGTGGTCGTGAATGCTTGAATGATGGATGTTCAATGTTTCTGCAATCTCTCGTGTTGTGTAACGTGGGTTTGACTCGATTAATGCCTTTATTTTGTCATCATCAACCTCGATAGGCCTCCCTGACTGAGAAGCGTCATTGAGATCAAAATCACCAGTACGGAATTTTGTGAACCATCGTTGGCACTGACATTCTTGTAGAGCATTGTCACTGTAAACTTTATGCAACTTTTCACAAGCTTGAGGCGCATTCTTCCCTTTATGGAAGTTAAACAGTAAAATATGGGAAAAATGCAGTTTGGTCTTCCATCTTCAACTTGTAAAATCTCCAAAACTCAACCAAATTGCTAAATTTTTTTTTTAGAATGAAGCTAGAACTGTCAGCTGTCAAATGACATAGCAATAACATGGATGCGAATGACTCTAGTACTTCCAAAAATGAACTAGTGCCATCTGTTGCAAACATGTGTCATAACTTTTCCGAAGACCTAATATATGGGAGGACAGAGTCACATCTGGGGACTCCTTGTTCTGTTTGGCTCTCCTTTGGCCTGTGCCTTAAGGAACTGCTGACTGCCCTGGGACCCTTTTCCTGAATCTCCCTTCTAACTCCCCCTCTGATACAGATTGGTTTGGTGCCTCAGGAGTATGTTTTCATGGCAGCTTGTGCGCTAGCATTTCTCACACTTTGTGTCATTACTTG